AAATAGTTTTATGTCGGAAAAATCATAATATTTTTTATACTATTTTTACTATTATACAAGTTTTTTTTCAAAAAAATCGTACTATTTTTTTTTAATTATACTATTACATCATTCTGCTGTAAATTATACTATTTTACTAAATTATAAATTATATTAAATTATACCGTTAATTATACGAAATTTTACTAAATAGACATATTAAATAAATTATAAATTAAATTATTCTATTTATAAAAAATAAGTTTTTTTTCGGGATACAAATAGTGTAATAGTAATTTTCACCAATAAATTTTGGAAAGATTCCAATTGATAAATTTGACATCGACAGTAAACTGATCAGTAGTATAATTTTGAAAAAATTATAAAAAATTATACTGCTCGAAATTATGCTATTGATAATTTGTAACATAATTTCAAATAGTATAATTTTTTATAATTTTCTAAAATTTATTTTCCAACACTTTTTGTTTGCTTGATAGCACATGAGGTGATTCATCATAGTCCATTTCATATGTTCACACCCTACGTTTGGGCTGAATTTGATTGTTCCCTCGTTTTGAGGCGCTTTCAGGCATGACACGAGACGACCTGTTCAACACCAATGCCAGTATTGTGCGTGATCTATGCGAAGCAGCAGCACAGTGCTGTCCGAAAGCTCAGGTTGCAATCATCACAAATCCGGTCAATTCGACCGTTCCAATTGCATCGGAAATCTTCAAAAAACAGAATGTCTATGATCCGCGACGTATATATGGCATCACAACACTCGACATTGTGCGATCAGCAACATTCGTCGCCGAACTCAAAGTATGATTTAGTGTAGGCCCATCTTTATCAGCTGGCCTCGTGCCAAAAACTAATCTATCGATCCTTATTTTAAAAAAAAAAAGAAAAAAAAATCCTTTTTTTGGATCGTTTTACGTCTCCGATATGAAGTATTTCCCCAATTAACGTAATAATTAATGATTCATCGGATAGACGCCGTCGAATCTTAGTGCCCTTTCGTATTATTAGCGCAGCTGGCAACTTCTGCTTGATTACTTGGTAATCAGAGATACTATATTAGTTGATGAACCGTCTCCCCATAATTTAGTGAACTGGTTTTGTGTTCTTTCACTAAAAATTCTGCTTTGTCCTTCCCATCGTTTATATAGTTTTCCACCTGCCAATTGGCAATACTGCTGGTGCACGTTTTAGCACGGCAAGTTGAGTTGTTCTGAAAGTTATTCGTGTCAGAGTTTTCATAAGCAAATAATAGGCCAGCACACTTATTGCCTGCGCGAAGATGCTTTTTTTGCATAGTTCTGCGCAAGTTTTTATCGCTAACGGCACTGTTTTTCCGGCAGATTCTTCTACCTAAAAGATTTGGGATTGATCGTCAAGACTGTCAGGAAGCATACCCCTAAATTTCAGTTTTCTGGCTTTCCTGGTTCTCGAGCTAGCGAATTACCGCCAATAAATTTGCTGGGACCGTGCGCGAGAACCACGCGCAACTGAGGGCAAAGCTTTAAGTTGCTAGGTTCTGAGTGGGCCGGGAACATACCCTTCAAATTCCAGCTTCCTAGCTTTTCTGATTCCCGAGTTAGCAGCTTGCTTGCTAAAAACTTTGCTGCGACCGCACGTAAAAATCACATGAGTAAGAGCACTCAGTTTGAGGATATGAGCCCGTATGTGCACGTAGATTAAGTTCCCAAAGTTTCAGCCTTGTAGCTTTTTGGGGCCTCCGGATGTAAAATCGGTGGAGACGCACATGCAGATACACACACAGACAACCTCTTGACAGTATGCGTTTTTGCATTGCATAGATGCAAAAAAAAAAAAAAACGCATAAAAAATTTAGATATTGAAACAATGGGAAACGGTGAGTGGCAACGTCAGAGGAGCAAAAATTTATTCTTTCTAAAAGCAGACAAAATATTTCCATCGCCAACTTCTTTCTAAAAATGTCGGTTTTCAGCTTTTCCTAAACTATCTCTGAATAGCATCGTAGCAGCTGTTCTCTCTCAGTAAGTACCTATTTTATTTTAGGGTCTCGATGTGGGGAAAACAAAGGTGCCAGTAATTGGTGGCCATTCAGGCGTCACAATTATTCCAGTTCTTTCGCAAGTGCAACCATCGTGTGAGTTCTCGGATGATGAAGTGAAAACATTGACCGAACGAATTCAGAATGCCGGAACAGAAGTGGTGAAAGCCAAAGCTGGCGGTGTAAGTTGTTTTACGGCTGACAACTTTTTAAATCAAACTTAGGTTAGAATGCCAGCATTAGAGGTATAAATAAATAGCAAAGCGCACCAGACTAGCCGGTGCGATCATGCGTTTTGCGCAATTCAGCTCATCGAGCGATTGCCTATTAATGATTTTCACCGCCTTGTACTTTAGTCTATGCAAAAATAGTTCAAACATCGGGAAATGGTTAAAAATTTCACGCACCAACGCATGATAGCTGAATTCGGAACCTTGGAGGGTGAATATCCTTCCGTGATTCCCGAGTTAGTAGTTTACCCACCAAAAATTTCACTAGCCCATAAGGTGATACCCGAGAGCGCGGAAACGCTGAATTTGAATGGGCAAGGTTGAGCGTGGGCAGGGGGTCATTGCCGTAAAATTTCAGCCTCCTAG